CTGTTGGAAGACCTATTACTATGTTGCATGTGGGTGGTATTTTACTGGATACCATTCCAAAGACATTTTCCCAAAAGTTAGAATTAAGATTAAGAATGCCCAGTATCACAGTTGTTACTTAGTATGGCTCTCTGGAATTCCTGGCTGTTGCATTAAGAATCAAAGAGTTTTAGGTATAATTATTAGAAGGAAGAAGACAATTATTTGTGGGTAATATGATTGTCACTTAGAAATTCCAAGAAAATAATTTGAAAGACTATTAAAACTAATAATTGAGTTCAGTGGTATGACTGGCAATAATTAAAACCTCAATAGTTTTCTGTAATCCCAGGCATGACAATATGAAAATTATTATTAGAAGAGGGATTTTTTGTGATTGACAACAAAATCTATAAACTACCTAGCAGTAAGCTTAACAAGAAATGTGCAGACTTATGGGAGGGAAAGCTTACAACTTTACTGAACCAATTTAGTGACAAAAGAAGACTTGAAAAAGGGGAGAAATAAACTATGTTCCTGGATATTGTACTAGTAAATAAATCAATTCTTTAAAAATTAATTGTAAATTTAATGTAATTCTATCAAAGCATTGAAAGAAATTAGACCTTGACTCTAGAAAACTGATTTGTGAACATGACAGTTCGTGAATGGAAGAATCCAGATAGCCAAAAACACATGGAAAATGTTCATTCTCATTAGTAAACTACCAAGTAAGACAGTATTTTATTTACTTGCTGGACTTCAGAATACTCATATTGAGCTTTACTTCATCAATAAGATTTTTTAAAATACTAAATGATAAAGATTTAAAAAAAACATTCAGAGTAGTCAATGTTATGAAAAAAGTGGCACCCCTGTGTTTCTGGAATATAAGTAAATATAGTCATTCTAGAGGGGTTTTTTATAATATAAATGAAAAGCCTTAAGAACTTGCTTTATCTTTGATATACTATTTCAACCTCTGGAAATTTATATTTTGAGGTAATAATCATGAATGTCTATAAAAATGTTATCTATAGTATTACTGCAATGTTATTTATAACTAGTGGCCCAGTGCATGAAATTCATGCACAGGCGGGGGGCGGGGCGGGGGTGGTTCCCTCAGCTCAGCCTGCACCCTCTCCAATCAGGGACCCCTGTGGGATTGAGCCTAAACCGGCAGTCAGACATACCTCTCGCAATCAGGGTCCACTGGCTCCTAACCGCTCACCTGCCTACCTGCCTGATCACCCCTAACCTCTCTGTCTGCCTGCCTGATCGCCCCTAACTGCCCTCCCCTGGCGGCCTGATCTCACCCCCAACTCCCCTCCCCTGCTGGTGTGGTCACCCCTCACTGCCCTCCCCTGCCGGCCTGATCTCACCCCCAACTTTCCTCCCCTGCTGTCATGATCACCCCTAACTGCCTCTGCTTCGGCCTCGACTACCATAGCTCTGTCCGGAAGATGGCCTGTTGACCTGGTCTAATTAGCGTATTACCCTTTTATTAGTATAGATAGATTATATAGGATAGGATTGCTTAAATTGGGTGGGGGGAGCCTTTTTCAGAAGGAGGAGATGCTCTTGGCAGACAAAAATACATAATCCCTATATCTGGACTGATAGCCAGCCATATGCACTATACTGCCAAACTGGTCATTAAAATATTGAACCACTTTCTTACACCTTATACCAAACAGCTGTTTCCCTTAAAACCCCTCCTCAGCCCCCACCTTAGGTTCACAGTTCACCCAGATTAGGTTCTGATTGGTCGGTTTCTATGCCAGTCAGTGTCAAAAGCTCCACCTCTTGGCAGCCAGTTTGTGAGGGCGTGAGGGTTAATTTGCATATTACTACCTCTTTATTATGTAGGATAGTGTAACATTAGAAGTAACTGAAATGAATAGTATGAAATTGGTTGGATTAAGTATATGGCACATTAAAAAATAATGTAGTAAAAGAATTAAATATCTGGGATGATACAATATAGTGAGACTATAGACTACAGAATAGTACATAGAATATGAAGTGTGATTTGCTAAAAGACTCAATCCACCTTGGAAGCACTTGGTACTACAAAATTATGATTTACTTCATGTGATAGTCTTTGGAATTGCTTAAAAATAGTTGAAACTAAGGATGTTAACTTTTTAAATGTACGTATACAAATAAAGAAAAGACTAGGAAGACATAGAATGTTAGTAGTGGTTATCTCTAGGTGGTGGAATATGGGTAACTTATTTTCTTATTTGTACTTTATATGTTTCTAAGTTTTCTGCAGTGAGCATGTTTATTTTTTCATAATTAGAAAAAAATAAGTAAGATACATAATGGAAAAGCAAAGTCAGTACTGTCACAAGTCACAGAGATTAAAGTATGTCCATTGGAACTCACTGGGGACTTTAGTAAAAACAGTTTGAATACAGTAGGACTGAAAATGAAGAAGCCAGATTGCAAGGTAGTAAGTAAATGGGAGGTAAAGATAGTGATTCCACTTTAGGTTAGTGCTGTCAACAGAAATAAAATGTGAGCCACATAAAAATTACTAATGAATCACTGTACATTCTTTTGTTGCATCTCATTTTAGACTAGTCATTTTTCAAATCTTCAATACCCACATGTAGTTAGTGGCTAAAATATTATACAGGGAAAGTTAAGGCTATCTTGTTAAGAAAGCAAAGCCAGAGAGAAAAAGAGAGATAGAAAGGAATAGTCTATTTCTGCAACAGAACCCTTTCCAGTGCAACTTACTGCCTCTTTAAAAATGAGATATTTTATGTAATTCAAAAGAAATATATATATAAATAATAATACTGTAGAATATCTTGTAACCTTTGTGCCCCTCAGTTGCATTCTTTGGTTTTTTTTTTTCTTCTCTTTCCCCCCCCCCCCCCCCCCCCCCCCGCTCCACCTGCCTGCAAGAATAATCTGAGCCGTAGAGGAAGAATGATGCCTGGGAAGAGACGTCCTTATGGAGTTATCACTGGCCTTGCAGCTAGGAAAACAACTGGAATTCGAAAAGGAATTAGTCCTATGAATCGACCGCCTCTAAGTGACAAGGTAGGAAGATGATGGCTTAATGCTGAATCTGATACCCTTTTTCTTTATTTGTACTAATATTTTGTGAATGAACTTGAGAGAGTATTTTTGATTTTTAAATAGTACTTAAATAGGCTTTTATAAATGATTTTTAAATAGGCTTATATAAATAATGAAATGAGATAAAAATCATTATTATGAATAATACCTAAATTCCACCTTCTCAAATAAGATAAAAATTTTTTTACAAGTTCCTGACTTACCGTGTGTGTGTGTGATTTTTAACAGGTTATTGAGGTATAATTTTATACTGTAAAATTAATTTGTTTTAAGGATACAAGTCAGTGAATTTTCAGTAATTTATACTTATAAAATCATCACAACAGTTTAATTTTAGAACATTTCTATCAATCTAAAAAGAAGTTTCATGTCCATTCACAGTCATATCTCATCATCTGCCAGAGGCAACCACTAATCTACTTTCTGTGTGATTATCTATAAATTTGTCTTTTCTATACAGTTTATGTAAAAACAATAATATGGCCGAAACCGGTTTGGCTCAGTGGATAGAGCGTCAGCCTGCGGACTGAAAGGTCCCAGGTTCCATTCCGGTCAAGGGCATGTACCTTGGTTGTGGGCACATCCCCAGTAGGAGATGTGCAGGAGGCAGCTGATCGATGTTTCTCTCCCATCGATGTTTCTAACTCTCTATCCCTCTCCCTTCCTCTCTGTAAAAAATCAATAAAATATATTTTTAAAAAAATAAAAATAAAAATAAAAACAATAATATGTAGTCTGGCATTTAGCCATAATGTTTTGAGGTTCATCATATTGTAGCATGTATCAGTACTTCATTCCTTTTTATCTGTAAAATAAAAGCCCAGTGACCAGAACTACTGGTCAGCCAATCACTATGATACGCACTGACCACCAGGGGCCATATGCTGAATGCAGGATGAGGGATTGGGAGGTACAGTGAGTCCTGGAGGTGCATGCTATGGCCCAGGGATCCCAGGAACCGCAAGCCCAGAGCTTGCTTTCCAATAAAAAATATAAACTGGAAAAAAAAGCAGTCTGATGCCGCCACCCTAGGAAGAATGGCTCCAGGAGGGAAAGGTCTTCCCTGACCCTGCCCGGCCCAGCTGGCAAGCCGCGGGCTCGTGGGGACTCACTGGTGACATGCAGGAAGCGCAGCCCCTCTGACTCCAAAGCCTGTTGCACTGACAGCTGCTCCCTGTCCAGTTCCCATGGCGGACACAGTGCTACTGGGCTGCCTTAGCTCCGACTTCCAGCTTCTGGCTTCTTGCCTGCCCCTTCATATACTAAGTGCGCTTGGGGATGTGGCTTCGGCCTCCCCAGCCAGTAGTGCCGCAGCACAGCCAGAGAGTGGCAGGACACAGCCACCAGGGCTGGCTGGGCATTGATTTGGCCACTGATAGCCATGTACAGTTACACTGTGTGTTTACATTTGTAGGGAAGCAGGGCAACCCACTCCTGCCAACCACCTCACCTTCTAGGCTAAGAAAGGCCTGCTTATCTCCCTGTTTCTCCTCCCGTCCGTAATCAAAACCTCTTGGGGATGAATGATCCGAGCGATGGCCCCAACACACACTTGGTGTCACTGTCCGAGACATTTCCAGTCATTACAGCCCATTCCTCAGCCCAAAGTGCCCTGTTCCACCCACTGCCACTCCTTACCTGTCACCCCCTGAGGACCACCTTATGTTATCCTGTTTGAAATGAGAGCAAGATCTCAAATGCCCCCCTGTCAATAGCTCCCTTGCCCTACCTTTGTTCCTCTAAAACCCTTGCATTTTAAAAATAGACATTTGCTTGATTTCGGAGAAGGAAATAGAGATAGAAACATCAATGATGATACAGAATCATTGATTGGCTGCCTCCTGCATGTTCCAAACTGGGGATCAAAACCTCCCCAGACCCCTCCCCCTGTCAGTCCCCTGGCCAGCAGGCCCCTGGTGGCAGCATGGCACTGAGGAAAGGAGGGGCGGGGGGAAGGTAGGGAACCATGGGGTGGTGGGGCGCCGAGGGCAGCATTGGCGTCTGGCATCTGTTTCTTCCCTGCCCAGCCTGGTGACAATCACCTCCTCTCCCGGCCCCGCCAGGGCCTTTGGGCCTTGATCAGCCTGGCCCTGATCAGCCCTGATCTCCCACCAGACCTAGGGACCCCACCAGTGCATGAATTTTGTTCCTTTTTATATATAAACTAGAGGCCCAGTACACGAAAATTCATACTTTGGGGGGTCCCTCAGCCCGGCCTGCCCCCTCTCACAGTCCAGGAGCCCTCAGGGGATGTCTTACTTACAGCTTAGGCCCGCTCCACGGTCTGGCCTCCCTCTGCAGGAGGTGACAGGGCCGATCAGGGGAAGGCGCCACCCCCATCACCCTGCTGCTGCTGCTGCCGCCACTGCTGGCCACCACAGCTGTCAGCCCTCCTTGGCTTTCACAGACACTGCGGCTTTGTCCAGAAGGACGTCTGGAAGACGCCCTGTCTATCTGGTCTAATTAGCATATTACCCTTTTATTAATATAGATTGTTAATATAGATTTAAAAAGCCTAAGCGACTGGCCAGTAGCTATGACACACACTGACCACCAGAGGGCAGGCATTCAATGCAGGAGCTGCCAAGCTATGGCCACTTGGCAGCAGTGGTTCTTGGGTGATGCACCTGGAACCAGAGAATAGGGAGCCCAATTCCAGGGTGCATCACCTGGGAACCGCCCTCTCGCAATCTGGGACCCCTTGGGGGATGTCGGAGAGCTGGTTTCAGCCTGATCCCTGCAGACCAGGCCGAGGGACCCCATCAGTGCACGAATCCATGCACCAGGCCTCTAATTATTGAATAATAGTTTATTATATGGGTATACTATATTTGGTTTATCCATTCACCAGTTGGACATTTTGGTTGCTTTCACTTTTTTTTTTTGATTATTTTCACTTTTTTGGTATTGTAAATAACAGAGCTGTGAACATTCACCTGTAAGTTCATATGGACATAGGTTTTCATTTCTCTTGGGGTAGATAACTGTCCCCTTGTTGATATTTTTAATTAGAGTTACAATGATTTACCTACCTTGAATTAACTACTTTCTAAAAACTTAGTAATAAATTACTCAGTAATTTATTTTGAATTGGCTAAAGCATTTCTTAAAATAGTTTCACAAATGGTTTTTCTCCTATTATATTTCATAGATCTAAGCCACTAAGGAATTTAATGTTCTGTGCCTCTATTTTTTATCTTTTTGGTTTCTGATTATGAAAATAGTACATACATGTAAGAAAATTCAGAACATTTGCTCTAGCTGGCTTACTCAGTGGTTAGAGTATCGGCCCATGGACCAAAGGGTCCCGGGTTTGATTCCTGGCCAAGGGCATGTGTACCTCAGGTTTGATTGGAGGCAACCAACCTATGTGTCTCTCACAACGATGTTTTTATCTCTACCTATCCTCTCCCTTCCTCCCTCTCTTCCACTCTCTCTAAAAACTTAATAGAAAAAAATATCCTCAGGTGAGGATTTAAAGAAAAAAAGAATAAGAAAGAAAATTCAGAACATTTATTCCTTAAATTATCTTAAGTGTGCATATTCTGGTTAAGAACCATAACTGTCTTAAATCTCTTATTTAATTTTTCAATTCTGTCACCACCAACAGATGTTTTCTTCCCTAAACCTTTATCAAAGATCTTACTGTTTCTTAGAAATTAGAAAACATTAGTGAGATATGGATACTAGGAGAAAGTTTGAGTTAACTGCTAATTAATTACGTCTTCTAATAAAATTTTAAATTCCAACATGTAGTCTTTTGAGTTGTTTGAAAATAGTGAAAATTGTGTTATAGAATGCTAGAAATGTACTGAATAATAAGATACCTTTATTAAAATTTTTTTAAAAAATTTAATTGATTTTAAAGAGAGAGGTAGTGAGGATAGAGAGAAACATCAATGAGAAAGACACATCTATCAGCTGCCTCCTGCATGCCCCCCACTGAGGATTGAGCATGCAGTTGGGGCATGTGCCTTGAGGGGGGAATCAGCCGGCGACCTCTTGGTTCATGGGTTGATGCTCAATCACTGAGCCACACCAGCTGGGCCATTTATTCAAAGTTTGAATGATTTGGGCAAAGATTTGGTTTGAAATTTTGCTGTTTTTTTTAAAAACCCTATCCTCAGCCTGAATAAGATTACTAGTCTGATTAGGATATAATATAGTAATTGGTTGATAAATTATTTTTCAGCAATTTAGAAAATTTAGAAAATATCTATTTACATAGATATTAAATAACTCATGCCATCCTTTTCTGTTCATTAAATAAGGCACTTAAATAACTTAATTGGCCTAGAATTGCTATATTTTCAAAATCAAAATTTTATACTTCAATAAAAATTTCTGGTCACAATTAGACTTAATTTTATCTCTTCCTTATCATAGTTTTAAAATTGATGTTTTATTTCAATAAAAATGTACTTTCTTCTTACCTATGAATTGAATAACTAAGTGGGAAAAATAACAAACTCATTTATAGTGCTACTAAATATTACTACTAAATAGTAGTAGTGTAAATAGAGCAAATGGCTCTGCTGAGAGGGGAAGGGTTGTGTCTAAGAATGAATTTCCTTTTTGGTTTAGAAATCAACTTAAAATATCTATCAAGAAGTAAAAATTGGCCCAGTCTGGATTCTTCTGTTGGGATATAGAACTTGGTCACTATCAATTCTATAATTTTTTTCTTTAGATTCAAAACTTCATAAAGCTGGAAGTATGTTGTTTTGTAGAACTTTTAACTTGAATTATAATACTAAATCATTTAGTACTTCATGAACTTAAAAAAAATTGTTGCACATTGTATGTGCTTATTTTCTGTGACATTGAATATTCTTGATTTCTTTTTTCTCTGTAGCCATTTCTACTTAGGCTTCTTTGCTATTACAGCCTCCTTTTTTTTTTCTTTTTCGCACGTTTGTTTTGGAACTTGCCCCTCTCATCCCTTTACTTGATATCCAAAACCATGTTTATATAAATGATTCCCTAATTTACATCTCTGGCTCTCATTCTTCTCTTGATCTCCAGATCCATGTTTCCCTATCACCTGTACATCTCCCAGCACTTCAAACTGAACAGATCCAAAATAGATAAAAGTTATTTTTCTGTCCAAATTCTTTTTGTTGAAAGTATTTTGAGTATAATGTGGTTGTCTTTTCAGTCACTTAGACTGGAAATATTCAAGTTGTTGCAGCTTCTCTGTTTCTGTAACCTGCACATCAAAGCAGTGGTCAGTCCTTGTCCATTCTGCCTCAGAAATGTTTATTGTAATAGGGTATAGAGCAGGGGTGGGCAAACTTTTTGACTCGAGGGCCTCAATGGGTTCTTAAACTGGACCGGAGGGCCGGAACAAAAGCATGGATGGAGTGTTTGTGTGAACTAATATAAATTCAAAGTAAACATCATTACATAAAAGGGTACGGTCTTTTTTTCAGTAGTTTTATTCATTTCAAACGGGCCAGATCCGGCCCGCAGGCCGTAGTTTGCCCACGGCTGGTGTAGAGTAAAAAGCAATCTGACTAACATAGTTTCTTGCCTTCTGAAAGAATATAGAGAGATATTTTCCAGCGTTAAAAAGGAAGGCAAACCTTCTGAGACAAAATGAAGTGCAGAGAAAACCAGTTGCCGTTCTTAAGAGACCTAACCAGCTAAATAGAAAGTAAGTACTCAAATATAAGACAATAATGTTATCCTGCATAAATAAAGATACACTTTTTGCCTAAGTGTTCGAAGGAATGAATTTTCAGTGGTTCTTACAGTTATCTGGCCATTTTCAAGACAGCAGTTTGGAGTGTTTATCTGATCATCCAACATGGAAGCAAATAACTTTTCTTATTTCTTAGACCCAGTTATTGATGAATTTAACTAATTGTAAACTTTTTTAAAAAACATCATTCTGCTCCTCTACTGTTTTTAACATATAGAATAATATTGCAAAAGGTGAATTGTTTTGGTAAACAATTATTCAAAATTGGGAATTCTAAAAGCTGAATATGTTGTTCAGTCTCAAAGGCTCTTAAAAGAATAGTCTACGTTATTTATGGGAAAAGTAAACTAGAAAGAATTCTGTATGGATGCTTAAGGTGAAATTATTTTTATATGAAATTGAAAGACATAAGAACTTAAAAATGATGACCTATTGTTATGGCATTCTGGTCTCTGTAATGATAAAGTGTACACAAAGGAAGTTGACAAGCTGTGATGTTTCCTTATTTCAGTTTCAAATACTATTTATTCATCTTTTATAGAAGATAATTCAAAATAAAAGAACCCTGAAATGAAGTCTTTGTATAAATGGAACGGCTGGAATTACACTTTTACTTAAATATTGTTTTCTTTTGAGAATCATTTGGTAGTACCTATTGGAAAAGGGGAACTTATCAGATAATAATTTGTCAATTACATGAGTCATTAATGAGCCCATATTAATTGGGCTAGATAGGGAAATTTGCATTTGAGCCTCTATAAAATTGGAGGTAAGATTAGGCAACATTTCAGCATTTATTTGTAAAAATAAATAAGTAGAGCTCTGGCCAGTGTGGCACAGTTGAGTGGGGATCGTCCTGTGTGCCAAAAGGTTTGATTTCTGGTCAGTGCACATGCCTGGGTGGTAGGCTTGATCCCCAGTAGAGGGTGTACAAGAGGCAGCCGATCGATGTTTCTCGATCCTTCTGCCTTCTTCTCTTTAAAAATCATTTTTTTAAAACATTTTTATTGATTTCAGAGAGCAAGGGAGAGGGAGAGAAAGATAGAAACAACAATGATGAGAGAGATCACTGATTGGCTGCCTCCTGCACACCCCCCACTGGGATCAAGCCCACAATCCAGGCATGTGCCCTTGACTGGAATTGAACCCAGGACCCTTCAGTTTGCAGGCCAGCGCTGTATCCACTGAACCACACCAACTAAGGCTAAATTTCAATTTTTAACAATCTTTTCAAAAAGATAAATATAACAATTTGTTTTCTCATATTTTAACAACTTTCTATAGATACTACAAAGAGAGTACATTGTTCTGTGTGGGAAAGAACAAGCAGTGAAAGAGAAGTTTCTCTGTGATTTATGTTAATACTAGGGGCCCAGTGCACAAAGATTCGTGCACGGGAGGTGGGTCCCTCAGACCGACCTGCACCCTCTCCATTCCGGGAGCCCTCGGGAGCCTTCTCCAATTCGGAAGTTTCTGTCTGTCTTTGCAGTCATATGAGCGAATTGTCTGAGACCCCCCCCAACCCAGTTAAGTTTGTTGCTCACAGAATAATAGAGGCATTTTTTTTTTCTTTGCTTCATTGGTGAAGATTTCCTGGAAGTTTTAGGATATCTTCCCTTTAATTTTTCCTATACACTTCTGATTTTACTTAGGTCTCTCGCCTTTGCTTTCCCTCCATCCCCCACCACAACAGTAACTTGCTCCAAGCTCACTTTGCTCTAGTGTCCAGGACAGTGGTCGGCAAACTGTGGCTTGAGAGCCACATGCAGCTCTTTGGCTCTTCCGCAAAATACCAACTTCTGCGCATGGGCCACAAAGTTTAAATTGCACTATACATGCGCGCCCACACATGGTATTTTGTGAAAGAGCCGCATGTGGCTCGTGAGCCGCAGTTTGCCAACCACTGGTTTAGGAGATCCGTCTGCCACCAGAACTGTGATTCCCAGCATTCCTGGTGCTCCCTGCGCTCTGGGCTTCTGCTTCCGGTCCTGGGGCTGCCACCAGAACTACTATTCCCAGAATTCCTGGTGCTCCCCATACTCTTGGTTTTCCCTTCCTGCTCTGTTCTGTCCCACATCCTCCCATTCTGCCAAGTCCTCCAAGTCGCCAGGTCTCCCTCTCTGCTCTCCGTCTGGCGGCTTGGGGAGCCAAGTTTCCGAAGCCACTTCACTCTCTGCCGGCTCTCTCGCTCTGCTCTCTGCCTGGCGCCTGTGTGGGCAAATTAACCCATCATCTTTGTTGGGTTAATTTGCATACTCGCTCCTGATTGGCCAGTGAGCACAGCAGAGGGATGGTCAATTTACATGTTTCTCTTTTATTATGTTAATATGAAAAGGTTTTTAAGTGAGAAAGGAAAACTGAAAAAGATGCTGTTTTTCAAGATTTTCTTTTCAGCTCTAGCCAGTTTGGCTCAGTGGATAGAACGTGAGCCTGTGAACTGAAGAGTCCCAGGTTCGATTCTGGTCAAGGGCACATACCCAGGTTACAAGCTCAATCCCCAGTACAGGGCATGTAAGAAGCAGCCGATCAATATTCTCTCTCATCATTGATGTTTCTATCTCTCCCTTTCCCTTCCTCTCTGAAATCAATAAAAAAAAAACATATATTGAGAAAAAAATATTTTATTTTCAGTCAGTTTGACTATGATGTATTTAGGTGTGATTTTCTTTGTATTAACCCTGTAAATAAATCTTTCACCAAACTTTTTAATACATATTTTTATTGATTTCAGAGAGGAAGGGAGAGAGAGATAGAAACATCAATGATGAGAGAGAATCATTGATAGGCTGCCTCCTGCACACCCCCTACTGGGGATCAAGCCCACAACCAGGACATGTGCCCTAACCTGGAATTGAACCTGTGACCTCCTGGTTCATAGGTCAGTGCTCAACCAGTGAGTCATGCCAGCCGGGCCAGAGGGAGATATTTGTAAATCAAATCTCAATAGTTTCTGATAAATTCAGAGTCTTTATATTTAGTGTATTCTCACATTTTTAGGCAATGAATTAAACTGTTTTTGCTTATTGTTTTCTCAAGATATTTGAAAGTTGTTAAATGGCTGAGACTATTCATGCATATGTGTTTTCATTGCAGAAATAACATCCCAACCAATTATACCAGGAGTGGAAATAAATTAAGTCATCAGAAAGACACTCGTCAGGCAACTTTTCTTTTCAGAAGAGGCCTGAAGGTATAAAAACCCTTGGTTGTGTTTTCTTTTTACCCAAAGGATTCTGAACATCTATCTTTAGTAATTCTTAATCATAGGGATGGCCCATGGTTGAAGTAGGGGTTGGGTTTGGATATAGAGAACATGACATTAGGTTAGTTCCTCCCTGCCCCCAATTCTCTCTTGTTGTCCTCAGTAGCACCATCTATCTGTAATAACAAAAGCGTAATATGCAAATTGCCCAAAAAGCAGAACAACCGTCCAGACGTTTACGTTATGACATGCACTGGTGCCAAGCCAGCCAAGGCGGGTACGGTGCAATTGGTCAGGGGGGCTCTGCCACTGCGCCATGATCACCCCACAGAGGGAGGCCAAGGCTACCGACCAGCAGGCTGCAGCAGGTGGGCGGGGCCTCCCTCTGCAGGGCGATGGGTCACAGGGCTCCCGGACTGCGAGAGGGCGCAGGCCGGGCTGAGGGACACCCCCGAGTGCACGAATTTTGTGCACCGGGCCTCTAGTCTTATAAGAATTTAACATGTTATTTAGGAATAAACCTGTTTTTACTACTTGTTCTAATGCAGAACCCTAACAAAGAGGTGTTGCCAGAATAGTCATATGCCCCTCCTACATTCATACACATATCCTAATGGGTTATAAAGTTTGGAGGATAGCTCTTTGCGTTCAGATACTCTGCTTTCTGTGGGATCTACTGCTTTTTTTCCCCCTTCAGGTTCAGGCCCAGTTGAACACAGAACAACTGCTAGATGATGTAGTAGCAAAGAGAACTCGTCAGTAAGTTTCAATTTGTTTTTCAAGGTGTCATTTCAGAATTCCCAGAATACTAACTACCCAAATTACTTTGTGCCCTAGTCCAAAAGAAATTAAATGAGACCTAAAGTAAATTAACCATTGAGCCCGAAATAAACTATTTTTTGCTCTTTTTCCTCCCAAAATCTTTTGTATTTTCACGTCAGTGTATAAAAGTTTTAGCATCAAATACATTCCTCTATTTTTAATTTTTATTAAGTTCCATTTTAATGAAACATTCCTTTATTTTCTATAACTTCTTTCATACAAATGAATCTATTCAAGGAATAAATAGAAGAAAATACAGTATAGCTTTAAAATTTGTAAACTCTCAAGAACAATAGAATATTTTCTTTTTTCACATACTCTTTTTTCCCCCCAGAACCCCTATTAAGGTTTAAAAAAAATTTTTTTTTTTTTTGGTCAGAATTGCACTTCCCAAGTATGACTTACAACATTCTAGTTCTATCAATATCAAGTTTTGAGATTAAACTATTTAAACTTATAGCTACTTTTTAGAAAACAAAACATGGTCATGGTATGATGCCAACCAATATGGGGTATGATTTTGAATATAGGAAAGGAAACTATTTCAACTTGATGCTTGCAGTATTCTTTTGTACAGGAGTCACGACATTGGTAACCATAAGGAAGAAAATTATAGTCATAGCTTATTTGCTTCTACATGAATAATATTTATATAATTATAATATAAATACTGTTCATTTGTTTTGAACTTTGAGAATCAACCTATGGGACAAAGCACAAAATTCTTTTTTTAAAATATATTTTATTGATTTTTTACACAGAGGAAGGAAGAGGGATAGAGAAACATCGATGAGAGAGACACATTGATCAGCTGCCTCCTGCACACCCCCTACTGGGGATGTGCCCGCAACCAAGGTACATGCCCTTGGCCGGAATCGAACCTGGGACACTTCAGTCCGCAGGCCAACAATCTCTATCCACTGAGCCAAACCGGTTAGGGCACAAAATTCTTAAATTAGGTATCAAAATATAATGTAAATGTCAGATTCTGATTAACATAAATATAGAAGTAGAGCTGACAAAAAGTGGGAGGTACAAAGTGAGAGAAGAGGTGAAAGGAAGGAATAGAGGTACCACTATTCTTTTATACTAAGTGGGGAGGGGAGGTTATCAAGCGATACTTCTGAAAGAAAGATGTTTACGTATATTTAAAGTTATGATGGAAGTAAAGTAGTGATATCTCCATCAAAATATTTAGAGTTAGGTAGGGAAACTAAAGAATAATGATGAGGGAACATATATGATACTTCAACAATAAAGATTTAAAAAAAATAAATGTGCTTATGCAAACTTTATGGATTAAAAAAATATATATTACACAAGCATCTTGTTTAGTGAACTGGAGGGAACCAGCAAGCAATAAAAACAGGAAAGGTTAAAAGTACTGCCTCTAGGGAACAAGAAGGGGGGAAATAGTGGGGTGAAAGGCGGTTACTTTTCATTAAAAATCTTTTTGTAGTTGATTTTTTAAAAAAAAATTTATTGATTTTTTACAGAGAGGAAGGAAGAGGGATATAGAGTTAGAAACATCAATGAGAGAGAAACATCGATCAGCTGCCTCCTGCACACTCTCTACTGGGTATGTGCCCGCAACCAAGGTACATGCCCTTGACCGGAATCGAACCTGGGACCTTTGAGTCCACAGGCCGATGCTCTATCCACTGAGCCAAACCGGTTAGGCTGTAGGTGATTTTTTAATGTGCATATATTTGTTACACTGAAAAATATTTAATAGGGCATCCAGTTCTACACCCAAGATGCTGTATTTTTAAAAAGCTAAGAAAAAGTAATGGCTATATTCTAATGAAGTTTTTGGTATTTTGAAACCAGATGGCGGACTTCCACCACAAATGGAGGAATTTTAACTGTATCCATTGATAACCCTGGAGCAGTGCAGTGCCCAGTGTAAGTCTTTTCTTTATTTTGCAGAAATTATAATCTCTCAGTATATAAAATAATAGAAAAGTATTGGATTCCTGCTCGGAGTGTGATGTCCAAGTTAGGATAAACTGAGACAAGGGTAAAAGTAATACTTGATAAACAAAATAAAAATAACATAGTGTAAAGTTAAAAGTAAAAGCGCCTTTGATTCCTGGTTCTACAGCCCCAAGGTAACAACTCTTAACAATATTTTTATTTTAAAAGATCAGTGCATGGTCCTGACTTGTGTGGCTCAGTTGATTGAGCGCGTCATGCCATGCATCAAGAGGTCGCTGGTTAGATTCCCAGTCAGGGCACATGCCCAGGTTTTGTGCTCAATTCCCAGTAAGGAGGGTTGTGTAGGAGGCAGCCCATTGATGTTTCTCTATCTCTCTCTCTTTCTCTGTTTCCCTCTCTCTAAAGTCAGTAAAAACATTTTAATAAATAAAAGTTTATAAAAAATGTTAGATACATCTATTTTAATGTATAATAGTAAATGAGATAATAATATACCTACTTTCTCCCTTCTCCCCCTTTATCCCAGTATATTTTAAAGTACCTTTTTTTAAAAAGTACTTTCTTTTTAAAAGTCATAGTGTGTTCTTTTAACTAGTTAACCTTAATTTAGTTAGCCATTCCATTATATTTATTGCATTATAAACTTTCTAAGTTTATGGAGTTTTTGTTCTATGTAGCCATTTTAATGGCTGCAATGGAAGAAAGAATGTAAGATAGGTCTTTAATAAGACTCTAGAGGTTATTTTATTGTAGTAGAAGATCAAGACTTGGAAATCATCAATCATTCCAAATTGTTGAAAAGTTTATAGTTCCACTTAAAGAGGAAGTCTATGAGTAGCTATATATATTTTATTCTCTAGATTAGTCAGTCAAAAACCATACACCTTTTTTTGTAAACACAAATAAAATAGTTGCCCTAATACATCTGAACATGTGTATAAGTCAGGATGTCTTTATGTACTAAATGATTTTATTTTTCTTCTTTTGATTGTTAAGCTAACCTAATTTCATTTTACTCTTTTTCTAATAGAACTCAGAAACCACGATTAACTCGTACTGCTGTACCTTCATTCTTGGCAAAACGGGAGCAATCTGATGTAAAGAAAGTCCCTAAAGGTGTTCCCCTGCAATTTGATATAAATAGTGTGGGAAAACAGGTAAATTTTTCCCCCTGTTATTTCTTTGGGCCATTCATTGATAATATTTTAGTTAACAAAACAAATGTTGTATAATGAGTTACATAGAGGATCCTAAGTCTCCTCAACCTTAGGAATCCACTGATTTATCTACTTCTGTGTCTATAGGCTTGCCTATTTTAGACATTTCATATGAATGAGATCATATAATACATGCTGTTTTGTGAGCGGCTTCTTTTACCTAGCATAGTATTTTCAAAGTTCACTCATAGTGTATCAATATTACATTTCTTTAATCTATAATAATACAAGCGTAATATGACAGCCGAACAACCTTCCAGATGTCCTTCTGGACGAGCCAGGGCTGCGAGGGGAGCCTCTTGCACGAATTTCATGCATTTGGCTCCTAGTTGCTGAATAATGTTCCATCTTATGGCTATGGCAAACTTTATTTATTCATTTATCGGTTAATGGACATTTGTGTTGTTTCCATATGTTTGCTGTTGTGAATAATGCTTCTTTGAACATTTACAAGTTTTGGTATGAGTTTACGTTTTCATTTCTCCTTGGTTAATACCTAACAATGGAATTGCTAGGTCACCTTATAACTCAATGTTTAATTTTTTGAGTAACTGCCCGAATATTTTCCAGAAGTGGCTACACTATTTTACATTGCTACCAGCATGTATGAGGGTTCTAAATTTCTCCACATCCTCACCAACACTTATTATCTTCATTTGCATATATACATATGTAGCCATCCAAGTGCAATATATATTGTGGTATATCTCACTGTGGTTTTGATAATTTTTGTAGTAACCTAGAATCTTGTGATCTTGCTTAAAATTTGCTTATTACTTTTTGTAATTTTGTAGATTCCTTAGGACTTTTCTATGTAAAAAATTATGTCGTTCTCCAAATTCCTTTCCAGTCCTTAAACCTTTTCTTTTTCTTGTTTGTTATAATGGCTAGCCTTCAGTACAATGCTGAATAGAAGTGGTGAGAGCATGTATGCCTGCCTTGTCCCCAGGCTTGAGGAGAAAGCAAATGTTTCACCATTGAGTATGATGTTAGCAGTAGGTTTTTAGTTGATTCTGTGTACCAGATTTAGGGAATTCTTTTCTATTTGTAATTTGCTGAGTGGGTGTTGGATTTTGTCAAATACTTTTTTGTATCCATTGACATAAAAAATCTGTGGAATTGAAGGTATGAGGTATAGACAGAAATTTGACCAAATTTATTATGCTTATTTTTACTTTATTTTTTCATTGTTGTTACTTTCCTTTCAGAAGTGGTGAATATAATTTGGGTTTGCTGTTTGTTGTTAATCAAAAACCAGATTTTAATTTGATTTGAGTTTATTTAAAAAATTCAAGAACTCAAAAAAAAAAAAAAATTTAAGAACTCAAATTCAAGAAAATTTATTTCAAAATATTCACAAGACTAAACAACTACTTTTATCAGAGGCATGCCTAGAATTGATGGCAATGTTTGCAGAGCCTAAACATAATTCAGATAGAGAAATCCTTTAGTGTACAACTTGTAGGCATTCTAGTATAGGTGTCCTATGTATAATGTAGGCATTACATTGGTTAGGAGATAGAGATTCTGAGTTAAACTTTCTGGTTTGAATTCTGGAACGTCCAAGTAGGCAAATTAACTTCTCTAACATCACTAAATTCACCTGTTTTGAATGGTTTTTGTTAGAATTAGAGTTCATACGCACAAACATTCAGGAAATGCTAGCCATTGTTAGTTACTATGAATTACCATGACGATCACATTATTCCAAAGTAAATATGGCTTACAGTCAAGTTATTAATTTTTGTTTTGTTTTTTTCTAGACAGGGATGACTTTGAATGAGCGATTTGGAATCCTGAAGGAACAAAGAGCCACTCTCACATTCAACAAAGGAGGAAGCCGCTTTGTAACCGTGGGATAGAACCCATGTTAAAGGGACTTTTCAGTGATGACTCTGTTAAAAAAGTTGAATTGCTTGAAGAGTTTATCACAGAAATTCAAGAAACTTTATTTCAAAATATTCACAAGGCTAAATACTCTTTTTATTTTTGAAGTTTGTTTTTTTTTAACATGTATAAATAATGCCCTGAAAGAATAACAGGGAATATGCCTACCTGTTGTTAAAGATTTCTTGGTTGAGCCAGATGGAACAATTCTCTAGTTGACTTTTTGGTTCCTCATACAGCAGAAAGACAGACAAAAATTATTTTTATGCTAGTGGTATTTAGG